TAAACGGCTTCTACTTGCAATACTGTCACCGCCAACACCTGGGTCGCTTCGAGTTTCTACCATGTTTCCGATGTGAAACTCTTGGTTTTCCTATAGTACTTCGTTCCGCTAGGTGTTTCGTGGATAGGGATCGGTGGCTCACGGGTTTGCCTGTGTGAAACTGGAAGTAGCCTTCGACTGTACGAAAACAGCGAAGTCGTGTGCTTTGACAGGATTGAAGCGTGTGTATCATTTAACTGGGAAGAACGGATACGGTCAATCAATGTTGACGCAATGGGAAAGTGCAGCAAGATGGGATGGAACGGTCACAAGTAGATACAGAAAATAAAAGCGCGAGCATTGAGAACACGAAGGACGTGGGATTGCACAGCGTCCAAACGCAACTTATTGTAGAGTCACCCTTTCGACATACAGTAGATAATATTTGCCGATCGCTTCCACTCCCAATGTAGCAAATTGTGTGGCGGCACGTTTGTCGTTTTTCGTCAGCCATTGATCACAGCAGGCAGAAATGTATTTCTTTGTGACCCCAGCTCTAACTTGTGACCGATAGACTGGGGTTAGGGGAGATCGACAAAGGGGAAGACGGAACTCTAACTGTAGCTAGGTATAGCCTCGGGAAGGTGGTAAAACAAATGGCGATGGAATAGAATAATCATCTACAAACGAAACAAGAAGGAAAGTCTGACCAGGGCAAACGTCGGGCTCGGAAATCCAGGTAGGGCAGGGCGATCCATCCGAAGGCCCGCTCGAGGTCCCGTCGACGCACTGAAGGGTGGACAAGCAGTAGCCGCAGCCTCCCACGCCAACACAGCTCGTGCAGTTACTGACGTCGGTCCTTTTTTTAGTGTTGCAGAGGGGGGGGCATGAAGTAATGCAGTGGTATTATAATTAACGACAAGAAGCGAAGAGCAACCAGAGACGAGTACTATACCGCAAATTTATCTACTCAGTAGCACCATGTCAACTCGTTTGCCTACATTCAGCGGCTTAGCCACATGAACTTCGTACTGGCTTGGCACCAAGGCCAAGGATGAATACATGTGGATTAGTCTACACTACTGTATAGTCTACCGCAGTCTGTATTTTTTTGCCACCCTGACCTCGTTGAAACCTTCTGGTGGAGTGCATTGTCACATCTATCTCTTGCCTGCCGTAGATACATAGTTTCCCACCTCGTCATGCACCGTAGAATGCCTAGACTAAACGTCGAGTTCAGCACACGTACGGATGGTCTTGGTAGTTCGGGTGCACCAGCAGCAATCGACATGCTACATACAATTTTCTACACAGCTCTCATCGATGCAGCAACAGTCTATATGGATTTGTACCCTTTTTTTCTGTGTACGTACGTACCTGGTGCAGACTAGACTATATCATTAGTTTATTGTCTGAACTGCGACCAAAAACATGGATAAAAGTGTTGTATGCCTCATTGATGCCGACTCACCAGTACACTCCTGTGTCGACTGAGAAATCCTCGCAGACCTGCCCAGCGGCGAGCTGCCAAGCCCAGGCAAGGGCAAGTAACCAGTACATTGCCACCATCAAGTTAGCCGGACAACCCGAAGGTCCCTGGCGTAGCCTTTTCATGGGTCCCACCACGCCTGTCGATCCAGAGGGACAATCAAAATGAGTGAATTCTCAATGTACAACCGTATTTTTGTGTCAATAAAAATAACATATAGTCTATAGTCTAGTCTAGACTATGTATGTAGTCTTTTATTTAAGTTTACCATATTTGGGGTTTTCGAACGCTACGTGGAGCGTCCGTAGCACAGCGCGGATGTGACGGCTGCCGCCCGCGATTTTTCTCGGGGAACACAAACGTCAGATCATTAATGGATCCGAACCCACCTCGTCGAGAGATAGATATATTCCATGTCTCACCACTACTACACCAGAGTTAAGGAGGTAGACCACTCAGCCACCCAGTAAAAGGTTGACCATTTACCTGACTGAGACAGGACCTTATAATACTCTCTGGCACTGAAACCTAGCGGGAAATAATCCCCAGGATCTCAAAACAACGTAGGGTCGCCGACTTTCTTCAGACGGTAGGGAGGATGCTTTTTCCGCTAGGATTTTTACATGCGAGTGTGTTTTCTCCTTTCACGCACAAGTTTTTTTCTCTTTTTTCTTTTCGAATCAGAAAATGAAGAAGGGGCACAAGTCGGGATTCGAACTCCCGACATGTCCTGCCGACGTTTCCACGATGTTAGGGAGGAACAAGGAAATAAAAGGGGGAGGGAGCAAGTTCGTTGCTCCTGGCTTCTGGTACTCACAGTTGTTGTTTGATCTCTTGTTTTAGCCTTCTTAGACCAGGTCCACTCAGCGCCCACTCGGAGAGTGAGGGAGCGGGGCTGGGGTTTTGATCTTCCTTCAAGCTATTTCAATACCCCTCAACGACGCCAACTATCCATATCCAAAGAAAATTCAAAATATCCGTTAAGCGCTCATACAACGTTCATGAAACGCTCGTACAATGCTCATACACTAGTTGTTCCATTACACCAGTGGATGCTTATAACATTATGGGGGATAAAGCGAGTATTTCAGATGGATCCAACCTAAGGGTGGAGGAATCTGAAATTGGTGTTTATTGGAGTTGATGAGAAGTGAGCATTTATTGTTATGTGCCAAAGAGGATGTCTGCGTGCGTATAGAAGAGGAGGCATGCGCACCGAGAGAAGGCAGCTGCTCGCAGGACATTCTGTTTGCGCCCGATCACGTTGAAGCATCATCAGTGCTGGAGCACAGGGACTGCTAAACATACGAGTGGACAACACTGCCAGCTACTACCTGTGAAGACGTTCTGTTCCGGGGAGCTAGTGTTGTCGNAAGGGACATGTCGATTGATGATTGCTATTATTCCACGGGGAACTGGGGTATGACGGTCTGATTGGGCAGGTGGATGTCAATGGTATGGAGTACCATTGGGGGGTCTCGGTGTACTGAGACGGCATTTTGTTTGGACCTCCTGCCAGTTGACATGGAAGGGGAACTTGGACTCTGGAGCAGAGAGGGAAGCGACTGGTGTCGTCCCCTCGTTATTGGCCAGAGAGTTACCTTCTAGACTTCGTGGAAAATAATAGACTATATATATTTGACACTTCGGAAAAATACAATAAACCTCGTGTTCCTAAATATGCCACAAAGAACGGCCGACTGTTTTTTTTTCACGATCACGATTTTTGTTTATTTCCCGCCCGCCCCTTAACGAATCGATGCATATGGTGTCACAAGAATCACAGGCCAGAGAGAGACAGAGAGTCAGAGAGTGTCAAACTGGGACCGACAAGCAGACATAGGCAGACACAGAGCGAGAGCGGGCGTAGAAGCAGGGTGCAAAACCAGACCGACTGCGAGGCTGTGCATCAAGGCTACCGATACATGTAGCATAGCTCGGCTATCGCCGGCTCTAATGTAGCTAGCGTACAGTGATGCCTGGAAGTTTAGGCAAGACACCCGTATCGGATCGCGCAGCAATTCCCGAGAGGGAGAGATTCAACCGAGGACGTACCCTCGTCCGCGGCGCGCAGTAACTTCTCCCAAGGTAGACCTGCGCTTTTGCTTTCCCGATGCCACACCTCCGGAGCGGTTATCTTCTGCTGCGTGCCAATTCTCTTAGCCCGTAGACCTAGAACAGAGACTCAGCAACCTTCCACCCTTCCTGTTGCGGGAAAGCCGAAGGTGTGCATGACTCCTATGCGAAAGATCGTAAGATCTTGGGTTATTAATTTACCTGCTTTCGGGGAGTTCACCGAGGCGTTCGAGCTGTGTCGCGGTGAAACGACGAAATGAACGAACCGGCACATTTGTTTTCTCATGCGACGTGTTACGGGCGCGTGGTTGGGTTGGTTAATTTTGGACCGCGCGCGCCTTGCAAAATCAGTATGCAAGAGGACTGTCTGGCAGTGTGCTTCTGGCAGTGTGCCTCTGTCGACACGGTGCTACTACTGACTGTTATAGATCTAGATGTACTTTGCTGTATCTAGTTTATTAGTGCTTTTTTTGTCATCACTCTTCAAATCGGTGCCTTCAGCATTCGTGCCGCGTACTCCAGCCCGTGGTCACACACAAGTATATGTTGTGTCCAAAACAATCGCCAGTCTGCTGTTCGGATGGCGGAGACCACTGTTCCATTCGTTCTTGATTTTTCCCCCATGGGTAGGTGCAGTGTACCTTGACAAGGAGGAGGTGATGGGGTCAAAAACCCTTTGAAACACTTCGCCGCGCGCTCCGCACGAACACGAGAGTTGGCAGAGTAAAGACAAGCATACAGCAGTACCGCTGCTCGGGGCCAACGGTAGCAGCGCACTCCATCCCCTTCAATAATGACCCTGACGACGATTGGTGCAGGGTCGAAAGGCACGCAGTATATTATTCTGTGATTCCCCAATCATGAAGTCGAGTCGGGAGGAGAACCAGGCCTCTCATGGCAAGAAGACTACATTTACACCCGAGCACTAACGACGTCCGTGGTTACAGGTCAGTGAACCCAAAACGAAACTCTAAAGTTGAGAGAGAGGACAAACACACACTGACACCTGCTTTTGGTTCCGATAGACCACGCCCCCAGATAACTACGGGGTCATGTCTACCATTGCTACGCATATACTTCTATATGGTGTCCAACATTTTTTCTAGGGCGAGAAACGATAGCATGACTGCAACACCGTAAACGTGACGTACGATATCACACCCGCACAAGAGAATGTGACACCTTGAGTGGATCTTTGGAAGCTTTGTTTTCGGCTCGAGACGAGCCCAAAAATAGCGTACTTTCAGACGAAGTAACACCATGACAGACGTTACAGCAGTAGCGCACAACCAACATAAAATATACCCCAGGTGATGAATTAATACTTCGTATTAATGTTGTCACGGGGGCGTGTACTATCGTGTGTCGCTACGGTATGCAACTAACTTTTTCCTGCAGATAGCCGCGACCGAAATTTACGGCATGAGGCAGCCGTAGGCGATCGCCTTCAAGCCGTGCGCCGGGCGGGAGGTGCCTGTTGGCGACGGAAGTATTCGCCGAGTTCTTCAAACGTAGCCCTCTTCTTTGCCAAACATGCAGAGCAGTCGTAGAAATTGTTGTTCTTGAAGCAAGCGTCAATGAATGACCTCAGGAAGGGCGCGTTCTGCTAGGTGACCAATTCCCAACCTCTGCAACAGCAGGGTATCATCTCCGACCCACTCCGCGGACTCTCCTAACTAAACCAAACTAAACCAACCGCGCCACGCTGCCCACTCGGTGAGGAGGTCAAACGACGCTCCGTTTCCAAACCACCACACAGTAAGCGTGTCGAAGGTAAGCGTATCGAAGGCAATCAAAACCCGTGCTAGCCCCGCGTTCTTGTCGCCAACACACTGACGTGCCGTCCTTTTTCAGTTGAACGGGTTTCTGGCTTCGATGTCCATCAGTCGCCCGAGGCAAGACACGAGCATGTTTGATAACTCCCCCGTGGGCGTGAAAGGCGCCTCGATCTTGCGCACGAGAAGGTTGCTCAGCTCCCGCCGCATCGCCTTGAATGCCACCGCCGTGCTCTCCGTCATCCGAAACCGCAGCCATCGGTCTGATGACATCGCAAGGATAACGCACGCATTTCAGGGTGCGTGTTCGCAGGCAAACGACGAAACACAAGGAGGGCCGGGGTGTCAAGGAGAAGAGACACCAGAGTCTTCGCGTGCTTTTTTGAGACATCATTGCACACTGACGGAACTGCGAGCCCTGCACGTAAGCCGAGAGGCAACGCGGGTCTCGGCAGAACAGGGGTGTGAGAGGGGAGGCAGTTTTCACCTTGACGGTAGTCATTCTTTTGTTGTTGTGTGTGTTGTGTTCATCCTAAAAACGCCATGGCCTCTGCCTACTTTAGTGTCTCCTCCTCAATGTACCTCAAGGCAAACAAAGCCCACGATATACAAAGCCAGCTCAACAAATAGCACGCATAAACAAAATAACATTCGAAAGACTTGCAATGAACACTCCACTAACTCACAACGACGAATATTTCTGGCGTGGGTTCGCCAACTTTCTTTGGCTTGTTTGTCTCACCAATGACCACCTCGACAACCTCCTTCTTCTTGTGTCCGAGCGGGCGCTCGTGCCGAACCCGTGCGCCCCAGAGCATCAGGCTGAACGGTGTTGCGTACGTGGAGTCGTGAAGGTACACCTGATTGGTCTTCATCTTGCTGTGATACACTACCCAGACCTGCGGCGGCAAGGAAGGAGGCAAGGCGTGTGGTATAGGGCAGATGGCGATGGCGAGAGGTGCACGCCGGGACATCAAACGCTGTTTGTAAACAACCATGGTGTGTCAAACAGACATTACTTTCCCAGTGCGGAGGCTTTCAGATTTTTCCATCAACTAGTCTACACATCAAATCCATCCACAAGTAAAATTCCGTGACAGATTAGCAAAAAAGATAGGATAGCTGTCGCTACAACGAGCGACAGCTGATAGATGTAACTGTCGTCAGACGTGTGCGTCCACGGGCGGAAACAGAGTGCAACACATCACACACGTATCAACTACCTGCTGTGCTGGCGTCAGAGCTGTGGTAACAGGAGGCCTGTAGACTCCAAGCCTCACCTACCGGTTACCCCCCCCCCCCCCCCCCCCCCCCGGTGTTTGCCATCGGGGTTGGGTTTTCGTCACCGGGCAACGACGTTGTAAAACAAGCCGCCCCTCCCCGGTGTTCGCCATCGGGATTGGGTTTTCGTCGCCTGGCAACGACGTTGTAAAACAAGCCAATTCCCTTCGCGAACTCGGCAACCAGGTTACCTTTTTTTTTTTTACCTCTTTTTTTTTTTTGGCGGTAACCATAATGGTGGTCGAGTGGATCATGTTGGGCGGGGTGGAGACGCCTCTCTCCGCGCAGGGGGGATGATCGCACCACGTTGTGTTAAAATGGTCAAGCACCCTAGGCAGCTACACAGTGCTTACAAGTGTCTCAGGAAGTGGAAGCACCAGAAAATAAATTAAGTCACACGCAGCTGTCATCCGTACGCAAGGAAGTAAGCACAAGATGCCGAACACCCTTGGCAGGATGCAGCGCACCCTTCATGCGACTCGCCGAATATCTCACGGCGCTTCGCGCTTGGTGATGTGAGAGCCTGGTCCGGTGAGAACCCGGCG